GCTCAATGGGGATAAACCATAGTAAACTGTTTCATTTTGACAGAACAGGATGGGAAACACCAGAAGTTACTGCTCCTGAAATTCTGAAATCCTGCTTAGCAGAGGTCAAGAGGACTCCTTGATTGAGTAAGGCGAAGTTTCTTAATTGGGTCTGAATTCTGCTCCCTTGTAGCAGTCTTTGGCCTTTTTGCTGTGACCTCTGGAAGTTTTTTTTTTTTCCTCCTTCTTTGTTATATTTCGGGCCACATCACATCTGAAGTTGGCATCAGAATATATATCCTCCTTGGGGGCTGAGCAGTTTTCTCAGCTTGATTTCTGTCTGCACAAGATTGGAGATCTACAGGTCATTTTAAGGCTTAAGGAATCATAGACTTTTTGAGTGTAAGCTCATAATCTAGCAGTATAATTCTTAAGGTCTTTTTTCCATTTAATTCTAGTTGGTTCAATAAATAATAGTAATATAAGAATTCTTACATTTATTTTGTTTTCCTCTTATCTTGGCTTTCATGTTTCACTTTTCTCACTTAGTTTCAGTTACTTTGAGTTAATCCAACTTTATTAGTCTGTTCTCACACTATGAAGAAATACTTGAGAGTAGATAATTTACAAAATAAAGAGGTTTAATTGACTCACAATTCTGCATGGCTGGGGAGGCCTCAGAAAATTTTACAATTATAGTGGAAGGCATGTCTTCACAGGGTGGCAGGAGAGAGAATGAGTACCAGCAGGGGAAATGTCAGACACTTATAAAACTATCAGAACTTGTGAGAACTCACTCATTATCATGAGAATAACATAGGGGAAACTGTCCCCATGATTCAATTACCTCCACCTGGTCCTGTCTTTGACAGGTGGGGAATATTACAATTTAAGATAAGATTTGGGTGGGGAAACAGAGTCAAATCAGATTTTTCCATCCCTGCCTCCTCCCAATTCTCATGTCCTCAAATTTCAAGCACAATCATGCCCTTCCAACAGTCCCCCAGAGTTTTAACTCATTTCAACATTAACCCAAATCCAAGTCCAAGTATCATCTGATGCAAGGCAGGTCCCTTTTGCCTATGAGCTTGTAAAATTGAAAGCCAGTTATCCTATATACAATAGGGGTACAGGCATTGGCTAAATACACCCATTCCAAATAGAAGAAACTGGCCAAAACAAAGGGGTCAGAGGACCCATCCAGGTCTGAAATCCAACAGGGCAATTATCAAACATTAAAGTTACAAAATGATCTCCTTTATCTCGATGTCTCACATGCAGGTCACACTAATGCAAGACGTGGGCTCCCAAGGCCTTGGGCAGGGTATAGGCCCCCTCCCAGCTGCTTTCACAGACTAGCATTGAGTGCCTGTGACTTCTTCAGGCGCATGGTGCAAGCTGTTGGTGGATCTATAATTCTGCGGTCTGGAGGACAGTGATCCTCTTCTCACAGCTCCATGAGGTGGTACCCCAGTAGGGACTCTGTGTCAGGGTTCAAACCCTACATTTTCCTTCTGCACTGCCCTAGCAGAGGTTCTCCATGAGGGCTCTGTGCCTGCATCAAACTTCTGCCTGAATATCCAGGTGTTTTCATACAAACTGTGAAATCTAGGTGGAGGTTTCCAAACCTGAATTCTTGATATCTGTGCACCCATCGGGACACCACGTGTAAGCTACCAAGGTTTGGGCTTTGTCCTCTGAAGCAACAGTCTGAATTGTACCTTGGCCCCTTTTAGCTTTGGCTGGAGCTAAAGCAGCTGGCACAGGCCACCATGTTGAAGGCTGCATTAGATCTGGGGGACCCTAGGACCTGCACATTAAACCATTTTCCCCCCAGTCCTCTTGGCCAGTGATGAGAGGGGAGATGTTTTCCCCATTGTCTTGGTGATTAACAGTCAGCTCCTCGCTACTTCTACAAATTTCTGCAGTCGGCTTGGATTTCTCTTCAGAAAATGGGTTTCTCTTTTCTATCACATCATCAGCTGCAAATTTTTCAAACTTTTATGCTCTGCTTCTTCTTGAACACTTTGTGTTTTAGAAATTTCTTCCACAAGAAAGCCTAAATCATCTCTCTCAAGTTCGGAGTTCCACAGATCTCTCGGGAAGCGGCAAAATGCTACCAGTCTCTTTGAGAAAGCATAGCAAGAGTCACCTTTATTCCAGTTTCCTAAAAGTTCCTCATCTCCATCTGAGATCACCTCAGTCTGGATTTCATTGTCATATCACTGTCAGCATATTGGTCAAAGGCATTCCACAAGTCTCTAGAACTTCCAACTTTCCTACATCTATCTTCTTCTAAGCCTTGCAAACTTTTCTAACTTCTGCCTGTTACTCACTTCCAAAGTTGCTTCCACATTTTTGGATATCTTTACAGCAGCACCCCACTCCCAATATCAATTTTCTGAATTAGTTTGTTCTCATACTGTTCTAAAGAAATACCCAAGACTAAGTAATTTATAAAGAAAAGAGGTTTAATTGACTCAGAGTTTCTCATAACTAGGGAGGCCTCAGGAAACTTAAAATCTTGGTGAAAGGCACCACTTCACAGGGCAGCGAGAGTAAGAATGAGTGACAGCAGACACTTATAAGAACCATTAGATCTCATGAAAACTCACTCAGTATCACAAGAACAGCATGGGGAAAAACACCCCCATGATTCGATTACCTCCACCTGGTCCACCTGGTCCCTCCCTTGACATATGGGGATTATTACAATTCAAGGTGAGATTTGAGTGGGGACACAGAGCCAAACCCTATCACCAACCTTTCCTGGAAAGTCTTTGGCCTCTTTTCCCTGAGTTATTTTGTTCAACTGAAATGATTTACTAGGTAGCACAAACATGGCAGTGTGTTCCAAGACACCTTAATTCATTCAGAGGTTTTAAAAGTGGGTGCTGCATTTGTTATCTATTATTGCATAACACATTACTTCAAAACTTAGTGGCTTACAATAACATATATTTATCATCTCACGGTTTCTGTGGGTCAGGAATCCGGATATAGTTTAGCTGGGTCCTCTGTGTGAGGATTTCTTATGAGGCTGCAATGAAGTTGTCAGCTGGTGTGGAGATCTCATTTGACCTGGGAAGGATCCACTTCTAAGCTTATTTACATGGTGATGGAAAGATTCAATTTCTCCAGCATTGTTAGCGGGAGGGTCCTATTAACTCCATGACTCACTACATAGAGGGGACCACCCTAAGCTTCTTGGCAAATACAGCAATTTACCCCATAAAGGCCAGTGAGAAGGACAAGAGTTTGCAAACACAGTAGAAGCCATCATCTTATGTAACCTAATCAGGGTAACAACATCCTATTAATAGAAGTAAGACACAGGTCCTGTCCAAGGTCCTGTCCAAGGACAAGGGAAGAAAATTCCTACAGGGTATGGATACATATTATTAGATGTAAGACAATGTTAGATGTAAGATACAAATTATTAGATGTAAGAAAATTATTATTAGATGTAAGACACAGGTTCAGTCCAAAGTCCTGTCCAAGGCCAAGGGAAGAGAATTCCTACAGGATGTGGATACAAAGAAGCAGAAATTGTGTCTGTCTTCCAAGCTGGTTGCCATAGATGTGACAGATACCCATAGGCTTGATTTAATCTTTGTGAGCACATGAAATTTAATTTGTACTTTGTCTTCTATTTCTCTTAGGACTTCACAATTTAATCATTTACCAGTTAGGGTTGAAAAGAAATCACCTCTTTAAAATGGTAAATTCCTGGCTTTTGGGTCTCAATCATTCTCTTTCACTACCACTTTCTATCGGGCTAATTACTGTGCAGTATCTTGCCACTTCAACCAACTGCATCCAACACACACTCCTAATGATCTGTTTTCCAGTCTCCACCCTAAGGCTGCTGTCCTATAAATGTCAGAGCCAAGAGGGAGTAGGTGGAGTGGCATCAGCAATCTTTGCTCATGGCTCCAAATGTAGCCATCTCCTCCACTATTCCCACACAAAAAAGGACATTTCTCCAGTCCTCCAGACAGGCAGTAAGAGGTAAATCCCATAAAATTTCAGGTTTGTGACACTTCTCTGCACAGTATGTTCCACCATCATCTTTTGAAGCCAACCGTAAAGGTACAAATGTCAGAGGAATTCCCTCTCTGCCCCACACGAGGATGATATTTCTTTTTGATTCTATAATTCAATCAGAGGCAGGAAATCTTGACCTAGAAAACTGGGTATTACATCTCTTTTTCTTATTCCAAAATAGATTTTGGCATCAACATTTGCACTTGAGATTTAAAAGCCCCATCTCTTCTCGTATCATTTTATTCATAAAAGTGTTTTGATTCTGAAAACTGAGGACTCCAGTTTCATTCTGTGCTGGGATGATCTGCTGGATAAGTTCAACCTGCCTAAGCCCTAAGATAGTTTGAAGAAAGAAACAAGAAGATAAAAGAGTTACTAGTGCTGAAAAATAAAACAGATATTTTTGAAACATTGTCTCATTATGTGTGCCTTCTCTTATTTATGTTTCCCTTATCTCTGCTTTCTGTCTTTTGCTTCATAGATTTTTTTGTGTCTTTAAATTTTCTAGTGTTTTTGGAACTATATATTCCATTTTCTATTCTACTGCTTGTTATCTTTTAGTTTTTCAAAAACATTTTAAGCTTGCTTTTCCTATAATTTCACCCTCTCTACTAAAAGCCATTTTTAGTATCCTGTCTTGTTTTATCTTATTCTTCTTATTTCATGTGGATGCTTTTGATCTCCATCCTCATCCTTTTTTTTTTGCTCTACTAGCTTGCAACTCTCGATATATGAAAGCCATATATTACAGCAATTATTAGAGAAGACTGTATTCCAGATACTTTCTTTTGCATGTCACAATAGATCATCTCTTGAAGTATGCTGTTCCTCTAATCTTCATATTGCTTTTTCTATTTTTGTTTTCCAATACTTGCTTGGCTCCATTTTTTTCCTCAATACTCATATTTGAATAATGTGAGATAATGATACTGGGGTAAATATTTTCCATAGGTAATAGTCAAAAGATTGCCTTTACATGTATCTGGCAGAGGAGATACCATGATCATGAAAGTGATTTTCCCAGGGTGAGGCTTATCCATTTTATTCCAGATCTGCTGAACCCTGTGATTTCCCCAATTGTGGGAAACTTGACTCCATAATTTGTGGCAGTGGTGGCCTGCATTCACAATCTCCTCTGATACAAGTTTTTAAAAGACAGAAAAGTTTGTTTTCGGACCTACTGCTTATGCTTCAATAAATAATTGAAAAGAAACTGATATGTTCAACTCCAAGGCCAATTTTAGGTTTTAAGCAGGCTTTAAATGATTGCTTACCTCTTCTACTCTCCAAATCTTGCTTAGAGTTATAGAATTTTATAGAATTATGTAAAAAATTAGAATTTCTATACTACTGTAAATTTTTATGAAAAAGATTGTCTCCAGTGAGTAAAGTGTGATGACTAAACACCCTGTCATTCTTATTTTTATCAAATTGTTATTTAGAATTTATACCTAACCAAGTAAAATCATGAGAGTGTATTTGTGTGTGTGTGTGTGTGTGTGTGTGTGTTAGTGGAAGGTGTACACATGTGTGTGTTGGGGTAGTAGCCTGAATTGAAATACAGAACAGAACAGCCCCCAAGAAAGCAGAAGAATTTATGCCACAGTTCAGATTTGTATGTTCTTTGAATCAGGCAACAGATGAGGGTTGAATGCATATCTATCAACATTGCTTTCTAGGTTATTCAGTGTAGTTCTGTGAAGCTGAATATATTATTGTCTAATGGACTTAGGACTCAATAGTATTTTTTTTTTTTCTTCAATCAAATTCCATCAGTCCTGTAATTTTTTTTTAAGTTCCTGCAAGATTTTGACTTGTCTTTTAGCACTGAATTTCAAGTTATTGATGTTTTAAATCTTTTTTTGTATCTTCCTGGTTATTTTGTGAAGTAGAAGAGGATAACAAAGCATCTTAATAAAGCCATTAAGCCTGCTTTCCCATGTTTATAATTATGTAATTATATCTAAAATTATATTTATCTTCCTACTTCCAACCCTACATTTTTAAAATAAAAAGTCTAGGAAATAAAATTACATATTAGATAACTGAAAAATATCTTCATAAAATGAATTGAAAATTCACAAAAGTCACATAGCAATGTGCTACTGCCCACTTAAAATGCTTAAATCAATCAAAAACTTAGAATTAACTTATCTCCAATCACACTTCGCTCACATGTCAATGATAGCGTGCTTCAGAAAGCCAGAAAGAATGTAGTGTTAACACTAAAACCAATAATGTCAATACAACTGAAATGTGAATAACTGCAATACTAATTGGATTTATGTTCTCTAAAATACATGAAAAATATTGAAAAAATTATATGGTATTTCATAAACATAAAAGGTAACTGAAAAGAGATGCATGTCTAACATATTCTTGGTTTCAAGGATATATCTGAATGTTTTCCAATGCATCATAAATTATGGCAAAAATAAATAAGCTTGGAGAGTTACTGAATCAGAACCTATCTTCTAGATGTTTTGGTATCATACTTGAACACTGAATATATATTTCTATGGTTTTTGCTGCAATAATGAGATGTCATCTTTTTAACTTTTTTTTTATCTAAAATCAGCAAATAATAGCCAAAATAAAGAATCCCCAATGTATGTCCAAAAAATTTCTGAAAGTTTCTTTCACAATGGTATTGCTTTAGAAATACAGCTCCCCTGAATCCTATTTCTTCAAACAGCCTTGCCATTGTACCAGATGGAGAGAGATAACACATGTAATTTAGTGGTGTCATGCTAAAACCTCAAAGTGTTTTTACAAAAATGGAAATCTTGCCCTCCCAGAAGACAGTAATAAATAACAGAAAAATTCAAAATAAGAATGATTAGGAATATTTTTTATTGTAATTCTTTCTAAATTTGTATTTAAATTAATTGCATATGTTGTATTATTAAATAAATTTATATTTAAATTTTATTTACAATTTAGATATACAGGGTTTATTTAAGAATGCACTACAGAATTCCTACGTACAGTAGCCAATTATGTTTGTTGTTAACATAAAAGAATATTAACTTCTCAGATATTAGTGTAGCTAACAGAGTAAAATGCATTATTTCTTGACAAATTTGATATATTGTAATGCTTTCTGAGTGCATCAAAATGAATATTCCATGAAAATAATTTTCAAATTTTTATTCATTCAAGTATTAATTTATATGGGCTATATTTTATTGGAACAGGTATATATTTCTGCATTTACCTTAAATTTAATGTTGACAATAAAACATGATATTGTGGTAGAAGTTGACAATAAATATCCTCTGTAGCCAACTGGATTTTGACACACAATTAAGGAGAGCCTCACAGTGTAATTTTCATGTAGATCAATAGATTCTCAGCACAATTCAGCCTCTGCTGATATAAATTAATGCCTCATTTTAAATTAGTTCAAGTAAAATGGGATTGCTCAAGCAACATTTAGAAAAAACATCTTTCTGTAGCCAAGTTGAAGACTTCACAAAATAAAGATAAATATCTATGTATTAATTTGATCATGGATTAAAAAGAATTATTTTCACACAGATGGCTTTTTTTTTTTTTACAAGAAAGGATAACTTTATAACATAAACTGATTGGTGGAAGCAAATCTGTCTTATGCTGCAATAATGAGATAATGAATTACCTTTTTTACTTTTCTATCTAAAATCAACAAATAATAGCCAAAATTTAAAGAATTCCCAAACAATGTATTTAAGGGTCTCAAAGGATCTATATCTCAGAAATTAAACTGTAGTAAAGATATTCCTTTACTTATTTCATATCCAAGTGTATATGACAATACCCATCTTCCCAAGCAAGATCATTTGGAATCATATATATGAGTAGAATATACCCCTTCTAAATATCTTCTTTCAATAATGTCCAAAAAATTATTGACAATTTCTTTATGCTCATTTGAAAATGACTCCAAGGCCGGGTGCGGTGACTCACGCTTGTAATCCTGGCACTTTGGGAGGCCGAGGTGGGCAGATTACGAGGTCAAGAGATCGAGATCATCCTGACCAACATAGTGAAACTCCATCTCTACTAAAATACAAAAAAAAAATTACCTGAATGTGGTGGCGCATGTCTGTAGTCCCAGCTACTCAGGAGACTGAGGCAGGAGAATTGCTTGAACCTGGGAGGCAGAGGTTACAGTGAGCCAAGATCGCGCCTCTGCACTCCAGCCTGGCGCCTAGCGACAAAGCAAGACTCTGAAAAAAAAAAAAAAAAAAAAAAAGAAAGAAAGACAGAAAAGAAAAGAAGAAAATGACTCCAAATTTCCCCCCTCCTCAACCCCTGAAAACTACCATTCTACTTTCTGCCTCCATAGTTTTGACCACTCTAAGTACCTCACATAAGTGGAATTTGTATTTACCTTTTTGCAACTGGCTTATTTCACTTAGCACAATGTTCTCAAGTTTTATTCATGTTATAGCATATGTCATAATTTGCTTCACTTTTGAGCCTGAGTAATATTCCATCGTATGTATATCACATTTTCTTATCCATTCCTTTCTCAATGGACGCTTGAGTTGCTTCTACATTTTATCTATTTTGAATACTGCTGCAATGAGCATGGGTGTATAAATAGCTCAAGACCTTTTTATCAAGTTTTTTTGGGTATATATTCAGTAGTATTTTAGCTGGATTATATGGTAGCTTTATTTTTAATTTTCGAGGAACGATCATACTCTTTTATTCAATAGGAGGTATACCAATTGACAACTGACATTCCTACCAACAGGGCATAAGGCATAAGTGTTCTCATTTCTCCACATACTCACTGATACTTGTTATTTTCAGTATTTTTTTGTTTTTTCATGGGAGCATTCCTAATAGGTGTAAGATGATATTTCATTGCAGTTTTGACTTGCATTTCCCTAATGATTAGTGATGTTAAGAATCTCTTCATGAATCTCTTCATGTGCTTATTGACCATTTTGATATTCTCTTTGAAAAAATATATATACTCAATTCTTTTGCCCATTTTTGAATCATGTTTTTTGTTGTTGTTGTTGATGAGTTTCAGAAACTTTCTACATAACCTAGGTATTAATCCTTTATCAGACCTAGCTATTATTCCCTTTCATTCCATAGGTTGCTTATTCTCTCTGTTGGTAATATCTTTGGATGCTGTTATACTTTGGACATTGGTTCCCCAAAAATCTCATGTTGAAATATAACCTCTAATGTTGGAAATGAGGCTGAATTGGAGGTGGTTGGGCCATGGGGATGTATCCCTCATGAATGATTCTGTGCCCTCCCCACAGTAATGAGTTTTCACTCTAGAAGTTCATGTGAGATCTAGTTGTTTAAAAAGAAACTGGCATCTCCCTTGTGCTCCCTCTCTCTTGCCATGTGATCTACCTGCTCCCCATTTGCCTTCTGCCATGATTGAAAGCTTCCTGAGGCCTCACCAAAAGCAACTGCTGGTGCCATGCTTCTTGTACAGCCTGCAAACTGTGAGTGAAATAAACTTCTCACCTTTATAAATTTCATCTGACTGGTATTAAGGTAATGTTGGCTTTAAAGCATGAGCTTGGAAGTGTTCCCTCCTATTCAATTTTTGGAAAAGTTTGAGAAGAACTGGTTTATTTCTTTTTTTTTCCCCCATTTATTTATTTTATTGCATTTTAGGTTTTGGGGTACATGTGAAGAACATGCAAAATTGTTGCATAGGAACACACATGGCAGTGTGATTTGCTGCCTTCCTCCCCATCACCTACATCTGGCATTTCATGTTTGGTAGAATCACAAGTGACACTGTCACGTCCAGGGTTTCTCTTTGTCTGAACATATTTGGTTGCTGATTTTATCTCCTTACTAATTGTAGATGTATTCAGATTTTTAATCTTCTTATAATTTAGTCTTGGTAGGTATTAGACATCTAGAAATTTTTTGGTTCACTTAGGTTATCTAATTTGTTGGTGCACAATTGTTCATAGCACTTTTTCAATAATACTTTTTATTATTGTAGAATCTGTAGAAATATCTCCACTTTCATTTCTGATTTTATTAATAGGGTTTTGACTTTTTCTTAGTACAGCTAAAATTTTATCAATTTTGTTGGTGTTTTTAAAAAATTACCTTTTTGTTTCATTAATTTTAAAATTGTTTTTCTATTCTCCATTTTTAA